GAGGAGGAGGAGGAGGAGGAGGAGGAGGAGGAGGAAGAAGAGGAAGAGGATGAGGAGGAGGAGGAGGAAGAGGAAGTCGAGGAGGAGGAGGAGGAGGAGGAGTAAGAGGAGGTTGGAAGCCGAGGATGAAGAGGAGGAGGAGGAAGAGGAGGAGGAAAAGGAGGTTGGAAGCTGAGGAGTAAGAGGAGTAGGAGGAGGAGGAGTGAGGTGGAAGACGAGGAGGAGGAAAAGGTAAAAGATGAAGAGGAGGATGAGCAGGAAGAGGAGGAGAAAGAAGAGGAGGAGGCTGAGGAGGAGGAGGAGGAGGTGAAAGACGAGGTGGAGAAGGAGGAGGAGGCTCACCTTAACGACGGGTAGAGAAGCATGCTCCCAGCGATGGCTCCGGCGGAGGTGGCTACGCCTACGGCAGCCGAACAACTTGGCGGCGGGGCAGCGGGGCAGCGAGCAGCGGGGAAGTGGGGCAGTGGGCAGCGAGCAGCGGGGAGGCAAGGCCGCAGGGAGGCGGGGCTGCGGGGAGGCGGGGCTGCGGGGAAGCGGGGCTATGCAATTTCGAATTCAAAATTGACCCGATCTGTGTCGTCGATCTTGGTGGACCGACGACCCAGATCAGGCTTGTTTTTTCAAAATTTGCGGGTCTTGCCCAGGATCCGCCACCGTGAGAAGTTGCCAAAGGTTGATAAAAACCCCTTGGCACCCCTAAACCCCAAGAAGAAGCCCTGCGCCTATTTTGCATAGGCCGCGAAATGTTTATTTTCGGGTTCTTCCGGGGTGATTTTTCCGGCCGGATTCCGGATGGTCTTGGGCCATCGGGATATCCGGAAAAAAACTTAGGTTAAATTTTATCATGATTAAACTCAAGTCTTATATTTGAGTTTATACCTGACTTAGTGTAAATCTGGGAAGTCTACCTTTTTAAAGGAAATGCTGCCCAAATTTTTACTAATTCAGGAAGTCAGATAAAATTTAATTTTCCAAAATTAGATATTGTTTTAGTTCTCATATTTAAGCTAGTATAAATTTTGAAAAAACATTTTTCCTACGGGAAACACTGCCGAAAGTTTTTAAGTCTAGAGAGTTAGATTATATTTTGACAGGTAGAGATTCAGGCAACCCACTCTGAATAGGGGAGACTCTATCAAAGGTCCACCCTTTTTCTTTGGACACTGACTTAGGGGTAGGCTTAAACTTAGTTGGCAGACAACTTTGAGTAAGAATGTGTTATGGAGATTCATTCCTCATACACTGATGATTTAGTTTGGGCGTTGACCTGTTTCAGGATACAGGTCATTTTGATCGTTCTAACTCAAGATTTGGACTAGTTCAACTTGATCCAACAAGTATCATCATCTGTTATCATTGATAAGAGGTCGTTTGCCGATTTGTCGGTCTACAACTTAACATCAATCCATTCTTGTTACCCAACCTAAAAGGTTTTAGCCTTGGTGGTTTTATTGTTTTATTAAGGTTTTCACCCAGACTTTTATTGAATGGTTTAACAAAGGTACTGAGAACTTATTTTGAAAGGTTGGACAAAGGTTGGGGTTTGCATGGTTAAAGCAAGGGGTATGAGTATAGAGAATGGTTGAAGTTGATGTGATTGCAGGTATGTTTTGTGGTTCGGACTTTGGAATTGTCTGCCTACGATCACATACATATATATATGGCTGAAAGGAGTGATCGTCACATGTTTATTCCCCTCTATATATATACGTACATGCCTATGTTTGAGTGTTCGCGTGGCTTAAAGAGCCCACGCTTAAGGGTTTAATTGAGACCGAGTTTGAGAGAGGAAAGAAGACTCCCTTCCTTTACCGTTTTTACTTCTTAAAGTTTCTTAGTCGGATGTTGGTCCTGGGCCTGGATTCGAGGTCCTTGTCCAGGACATCCTCGGTCCTAGACTCCACGTGGAAGGGATCACCCCCCCCACAGAGCCCATTTGCCCTGCCCACCGGGACACTCAGCCTAAGGGTCGAAGGTGCCGTGGGGGCCGAACGACTGTTCCTTCAGTTGTGCAATATCGTGAAGAGGTTGATCCTCATGATACTTCGAGATTGACATTTGAGTGTCATAAGTGGTACTCGGATCCACGAGGGACCGCTTGATTATGGACACTACATAGTACGGCATCATTGCGGCTGCTTGCGAATTCATACATTGGTAGTCGATATGGGAAGACTCTG